ATATAATGATAGTGTGTTTCATTTAGTGATCTTGTTTGTGAACATTATAATAATATCTGCTAAATGATTCATCTCACATATCAGTAGTAGATACAAGAAGTAGATTGTCAACAATTGTTATGTTACCTGGATAGAGCAAGACATTAGATGATTCTTATGTTCATCATTTAATGTCAACGCATCCTCATTAATTTCCAAAAAAATAAAAATAAAATCCATTTATAGTGAGGGATATTTTTCTACTTTATTTTAAAACAAGACAATCACATACAGATTAACAATAACCCAATCTCTGAGATCTCTAAGATCCAGGTGTTTCTGATGCCTAAAGTTTGTGATGGTCACATCACAAACTTTAGAAAGTGAGGAGCAGTGACTCTACGTTTATCTTCCTCTGCAAGATGACGCACTTCATCCTGTCTCTCCTGTTAAGTCCAACAACCCTAAGCAGGAAGCTCATTTCAGTCAATCACATCCAAGATCTTGTTCTTTTGGTCAGGAGCCACATCTTTCTACCATAGGACAAGCAGAACATTGATCATGAGGATATCTAGATTAAACAAGCAGATAGTTGGAAGGAGCAATGTAAAGGTTGCCCTTGTATTTTTATTTATTAAATTTTTTTTACAGATAAAGACATAATTAATTAGCGTATTTCATCAAGCACAAAAGAAGTCAATGAACAAAGATGATCAGGAGACCTGGCAACAAATCTGTGGTTATATTTAGAGAAGGTAAGTCAAGCATGTCACTGTACTCGGCTTTTACTCATGTTAATTTGTTATTCTCATTAACCATTCTGCTGTTATGTAATGGTGCTGTGGGCACTTTTTAACATGTGAAGTCTGCAGCTTCCATTATTTATGCCCTTTCAGAGCATGGATGTACGTGGGATATACGCCTTCAGTGGATTGTGTTTGAAAATGGAGGAAACGTCCCGCATTCAGCAGAACAAAAATGTGCCAAACTGCCATCAAAAGTGCCACTTTCAGAGACTTACAGCCAGCTTCCTGGTCACAGCATCCATTTTGCTGTAACTCAGCACCATTAATAGCACGGCAGGGCTTAGCGTCTTTCTTTTCCTCCTTTCCACTGGGAACTGTGTTGACTTGGAAATATCTTTAGACGTGAACTGGGTATTACACTTTTGCCAGTTTAGTTTTATTCACACTGTACAGGAGTGCGAGTTGTTTTCTTCTTTTTCTGACAGGCATAAGCCCTTACTGTGGTGCTGTCTCCACAGTACAATCACAGGCATCGAAGTGGTGGCACCATGCCTTAGCTCTGGTTCACTCTGTCTGAGTGGTACTGATACATTGCAGAAAAAAAAGGTGGAAAAATGAAAATGGAAAATTACCTCCAAAACCTTCAAATTCACCGTAACCTAGTAGCTGGCTAACATTAAGTTTCAGCAATGGATCCTGTGCAGGAAAATCTATGGACTCAGTCTAAAATCTAAACATTTTAAATGAACTCATACAAATCTGCCAAGATGATTGGTCAAATATCCAGCACATGTATATGTAATAACCTGTATAATGTTCAGCCAGAGTGTTCAGTTCACCCCAACATGCCCATGATGAGTGACTACACTTATTGATATAATTCAGTATTCTGTATTTTATGTATTTTTATGCATGTAGAAAATACTGTATAACATAAAGAAAAAAAAATCTTACTTTTTCTTTATATTTGCTTTTTTTTTTTTTTGTTTTTTTTTTTTTTGTTTTTTGTTTTTTTCAGAGAAAAATATCTGAACAGATTATGCTCCAAACAAGTAGTGTGATCTGTTTTTATAACAAATGGTAACTTAAAAAAAATAAAACATAAATCTGACACTTTTCGCAAATTTTCAACAACAAAGTAACTATGTTTGATTGCAGGTGCACAGTCTGTCATCATAGCAAGGCTTGGAGCCGCTGTGAAGCAGCCACATCTAAACAGAGTTTTCCTCTGGGACCTGTTACCATAGTCACAACCATCACACAGATTAGAACCTGACCTTGGGGAGATGCGCAGCCTCTTCTTGCTGATCTTACTATGATTGGGAAACAGGAATAGACAGAAAAGCAAAAGAATATGTGCGACAATTAAGCAAGTTGTTTTTCCCCAATCAGCAGAAACGTCGGAACTACCCGAGATGTCAGCTGAATTTGTGCAAAAAAGAATGATAAATGTGATCAATTTACCTTCATTTTCAGCTAATGATCAAAGTGGATAGATTTTTTAAACCAAAGCATTGTAAATATCAACATTCAACTTTACCAATAATAATTTTTCATGCAAATTCACACTCATTTATTTGTTACATGGAGTGTTTATGTAAGCAGAAGATCCTGCTGTACTTGCCCAGTCCCAGAGAGCCCAATGTTTCTCTGTACCTGTTCCCAGTAGATTGTGATGGAAGACCCACCAGTGAGACTTCCTGGAACTGGCAGCATCCCCTGCCGTAGTGAACTGGGCATGAAAACAAGCTCCATTAATGAGGTGCCTGCAGACCCTGCAAATGTTTCAGAAAGTGGTGGAAAGTTTTTTTTTTTCTTAAGTCACTTAAAGTTGAATTTAATAAGTTTTATGATTATAATGACCAACTGGAAATCCATTAAAAAGCTGTGCAGTCAATTCCCTTCAAACACTATATACTGTAAGTCCCTGGCTCTGATTGCAGAAGAGATTGTACTCTCCACAACAAACTTGTAGATTATATACATCACCTTGCTGCAAAGGTTGAAGAACGTAAGTTTTTTCAAGAAGAAAAATGTCCTCTATCTCTTACTGTAGGCAGCTTTACTATTGCATCTGTTGTCCAGGTGAACACCGAAGTATTCGTACTCCTCCACCACCTCCACTTCTTGTCTCATGACGGAAATAATGCTTAACCTAACTCTGTTTCTCTATAGCCACTGATGACTGGTGGGTGGGTTTTCTTTGATACTGGAACAACACAGAATGTCTTCCATAAAACTGGAGCCTTCTTCCAGGTCAAGCTAAGGCTGAAGAGGTGCAACAGAATCCCACAGAACTGCTTTGGACATGCCTGTAGGAATCTATGGATGACACCATCTGGACATGCAGCCTTCAGTTTCTCCAGCTGCCTTTTCACTTGACTTCTACAAACAAGACAAGTGGGAGGAGGAGGCAAAAAGAGGAGCAGCATTTCCTGATTTGGTTCAAGACAAACAGGAGGTGAGGTGGGAGGTAAAACATTTTAGGTGTGACAGACAAACTGTGGATTAAAGGAAGATGTGTTTGGTAAGAAGAGGAGGATTCTGAGTTTCTTCAGCTTCCAGTGACCACTTCTTCATAATTCTCTTCGTTACAGGTTGCCCATAACCAAGAAGCTTATATTCCAAGCAGAGTAAAATAAGCTTGTGATCTGATTTTTCCAGAGGAGGTCTTGCTTCGGAGATGTATAAATCTGTGACATTTGCATAAAACAAATACAACGTCTTGTTTTCTCTTGTGGAGCAGCAACCTTCTTGAATAACCTTCAAATATTACAGGGAGTTTTGCCTTGAAAAGAAAACTGTTCTTTGTGCTTTGTGCTGTCTGATTCTGTAACAAATAAAGACGCACGTCATTCAATATAAAGGTCATGTAAGGTGCCCAAAACATCAACATCCCAACAAATCTTTTTCGCCTATAAGAAACAGGAATTGTGTTTTTCTTTATGTGACTCTTTGTATGTGTTTGGTCATTTTTGCCTCTATAAACACACAAAACACAACATTGGCGCTGATATTTTGTTATTATGGTCATCCTATGGGAGAATGCTACATGTCATAAGAGCAACAATGCGCCACATTTCCTAACTGGATGTTTCTGTTCAGCCCCTCGCCACAAAATCACAGATGGATTTCTTTTATTTCAAGGTAAATTACAGAAAAATTAACCCTGCTGCATATAATTCATTCAAGAGTTCTCTTTCTGTGCAGAAATACAGATACTCTCCATACCTTAATGCAATTTTTGAAATCTTATTCATTCAGTTAATTTAAATGTGGCAGGCTTTTCTTTCTGGAGACTCGAGGTACAACTATTTCACTTTTAGAATACAAAGCATGACCTGGTATTGCAAATAGATGTTCATCCTGCAGTAGAATTTAAATTGCTTCCAAAAGTCGTCGCTGTTGGACCAAATGTTGTTGTAGCCTCATTTGGACAGCAGAGGTCAGTGTTGTATGGATGTTCATTCATGAAATGTTCCCATCTGAATGGAACTCATTCATCAGTATTCCCTTTACCTTTATGCGTGCTACTGTGCCAGATGTTTATAGCTTTTCTTTACATAAACAGTTTTTCAAACAAAGTTTCTACAACATAAAACACAAGCTGTTTTATTACAATGGAGTCACATTGTTCTTTTGTGCCTTTGTCTTTCCGTCGTCTCATGTGGTCCCTGTGTCTGCACCGACTGATTAAACTACTTTGAACATTTTATGTTTGCAGGCAGATGATGAAGTGTCCACGGCCTGCAGTAAATGTTAATATGCTGTTTTATTTTTGAAGTGAAGAAACAACTACACCATTGGGCTGATCAACCACTGTTTCCCTGTGTAAATTGATATGCCTCAGGGAAATGGCTTAGTGTTTCCAAGGATTTACATGCATTAAAAAGTTTAAGAGAAAGTATTTTGTTCTGTAGATATATTTTTCCCCAAATTTTAATGTTTTTGTCCAGCACACAGAAAAATTTAATAAACGTGGTCATTTAAAAACCACATGGAAAGGGGAGGGGGATAATTGAGCTGGTGTCACCATAAACATGTCTCTATGGGTAATATAGGGCTCTCCTGGTGCTGCTTTGTGATTTAGCTGCGTTTACAAGTGCACTAATGTTAAAGTTGTATGTTACGCAAAAGTCTTTTGGTGTTCTCATGTGAACAATTATAATTCACATTGATTTAAAAAAAAAAAATTATGGAACGCATTGAGGCGGAACTGTTTGTCTCACTCGAATTTCTTCACGGTACTTTATGGCAGAACACACACTGCAGGGAGAAGCCGCGGATTTGATTTTCCGAGGCTAACTAGTTAGCGCGCCCTGTGCTGTGTGCAGCTTTCTCCTACAACGGGAATGTCACTGTTTTAAAAACAAACTACAGCGTCAACTTAAAACTAAACAAAATGAACCTCGATAGACTCAGAAAACGAGTTCGGCAGTACATTGACCAGGTGAGTGAACTGAAGCCCGTGTTGGTTTCTGGGTTGCTAGCAGATGCTAATTCCCAGCACACTCAGCGAAAAAAAACCTTTACAGTTCACCGGGTTACCAACAAAACGAAAACTCTAATCTAAGTGAAAATTGCGTATAAAACCAGCCTTGTGTTTTCTTGTGTGTTTGTTCATAGCAACAGTATCAAAGTGCGCTGTTTTGGGCCGACAAGATAGCATCCCTCTCTCATGGTGAGTAGCAACCGGTTGTCTTCTTTAATTAATCTATACAACGTCTGGACCTTTTGCTCCTTCTGAGCCCGTCGGACGTTAAATCCAGAGTACTGACCTCTTCCCTGTCCGGCGGGCGGACTTACGGATTTGGGGCGCATCTTGGTAACCTGTTGACCGTCGCTTCATTTGTCAAGGCTTTATCATGTTATCCCCTCCAGAGCAAGGTCTGGTCAAAGGAGGACAAGTGTGATCAATTCAATGAAATGGACCTATTGATCAGTTAGAAGAAAAAAAAAAAAAATCGTCTTAAATACTACCATTATTTGTCTCCTTCCTGAGATCTCTGTATTTATTCACTTTTCAAAAGAAAAGCTGCTGCTCTTTTCCTTCACTTATAAGATGGGAACAGTAGTCATGCTGTGAAACTGAAGGAGCACCACCCATTCCTATCAATAAGGCATTTTTGTTAAAACTACAGTTGATCAGGTATGAGCAGCTTGTCCTCTTTCTACCTGCTGTGTAGAAAGCAGGTAGAAATGTGCCAACATTGGGTGAGCAAAAGAGATAATGCAGAAAACCTGAAAGTACTGACATTATTAACACACTCAGTTTTAAGTGATTTGGTTATATGATCGAAAGTTGCAAAGGTAGCTTGGTAAGGATTTCAGTGTTGCTGAGAATGAAAATGTAAAGAGAAAATCATGTTTATTAGACTTCATTGTTGGCATTCATGTCTGACAGAAATTATGGATTTTCTTTTCTATTTCTAATTTTAAAAGTTGTGACGATTTGAATCTAGAAGGGTGAAGACATTTTAACATCAAAACTGTGTCAGGCACCCTAAACAGAGTAACTCTCTAATGATAGTGGTAATTTTCTAAACCTCTCACCAATGATATTGTTGCATGAAAATGTGACAATAGGGTTTCTTTCTTTGGCATGCAGAAGATCCCCAGGATATCTACTGGCTAGCTCAGTGCCTTTACTTAACCTCACAGTACCACAGAGCCTCGCACGCCCTCCGTTCACGGAAACTCGACAAGGTAGGCGGCATTTAAAGCTTTTCACATCAATCTACTTTTAAAGTGAGTTTGTTCAAAAAAAGATGAGCTGTAAATTGAGATTTCTGTTCTCCCACATAGTTGTATGGAGCTTGTCAGTATCTTGCTGCTAGGTGTCATGTAAGTAAATTAAAATGTATGGAAGTTGCAAAACGTTTCATGCATGTGCGTTATTGTGGACGATCACATAAGTGAATCTCTTTTATTATTATTTTTTAACTAGTATTCTGCCAAAGAGTTCCAGCAGGCCTTGGATATCCTGGATGCAGAGGAGCCTGTTAACAAGAAATTAGTAGATAAAAGTGAAAAAGACGACAACGGGACAGAATCTGCAAAGGAATGGGACATGTCGCCTGCTTCTGTAAGTCTAACTTGACTTGAAAATATTCCACAAATATAACATCTTACATGCCAGCCTAGACAGTGCTGCAGTAAGTAGAGTTTATGGGCATAAATGTCACTGATTGCCAACTTAAAGCATGTCCTAATAGGCAGAGTGGATTAGAGCGAGGAGTTAGCTCAAAAACAAAGCAAATTTTTGGGGTTCCACTTAACTTTTATGTTGTGAATTGACCTATCTGAAGTTTCCAAAAGATTTTATTATCAACTGTCTTTTCTGTGTTTAGACACATTTAATTTTGGTGCATGTACATTTTTGATTTTGGAAAAAGTACTGAAGCATCTCTACAATATCTGCGCTAATATTTTAGGAATCTACCGAATAATTTGGATTCAACTATCCGGTTTCAACTAGTTGGACAGATCTTCTTGTTCCAAGAAAAATTAAGGAGTAATGTAATGTACAAACTGTTATGACGCCAGAGCATGAAAGCTCAATCATTTTTAAGCATAATGCTTAATTAAATGATTTACAAAAACACAGTTTTTAAACAATTATTTCTTTTAAAAAAAAAAAAAAAAACACTAAATCAATTTTCCAATTTAGTTTTCCCTCTTTCTCTTTCGCCTCTGAAAAATGTTAGATCAGTAGCTCCATCTGCCTCCTGCGGGGTAAAATCTATGATGCCATGGACAACAGGCCCCTGGCCACCTTCAGCTACAAAGAGGCCTTGAAACTTGATGTCTACTGCTTTGAAGCCTTTGACCTTTTAACATCCCACCACATGTTGACGGCACAGGAAGGTGAGGTTAATCTGTTCCGATAATCTCATCGACACCTATTATTTGTTTGGCACTTCTATAACGATTTCATATTCCCATAAACATCATTCTTGCAACAGAAAAGGACTTCCTGGACTCGCTTCCTCTAAGTCAGCAGTGCACTGAAGAAGAAGAGGAGCTGTTACACTTCCTTTTTGAGAACAAATTAAAGAAGGTAGGAGGCTCTGCACTTGATTTTTTTTGTTGTTTGTACGAGAAAATATATTTATATAGTGGTTTTGTATCTAAGGAATTATAACACAACCTCCATTTATGTGTCAAGGCACACATTCCTAAGCAAAGTGCACCTAACTACATAAGTTGGTTGATGCATTTGAGAACTAGAGATGGTGGAAATTCTTAGCTCTGTTGTCTTTAATAAAAAAAACAGGGAAAATTGTTTTTTCTGTATATGACCATTTTATATCCTATCAGATTCAATTAATCTGATCTCTGATTGGTGCATCAGTTCTATTTTATATTAATCATGTTCCAACTTGGAAAGTAGAAAAGTTTTTGGGAATATCGTTGCTTTTATTTTTCTGTGAACCCAGATATTACTAAAAGTGTTCAGTATATTTGAGTTGAAACAGATTTCTTTGACTCTTCAGAGCAGAGATCGTCACTTCCAGTTTTCAAGGGTTGATGTCCTGCAAAACTTAGATGTATATTTGGTTCAACAAATTTAATCCAATGAGTGTTTCTCCCCCACCCCTTCAGTATGCATTCAACTACCGTGTTTGAAATTATCTTTATATATATTTTTTCAACTAAAAAGCCGCTTAAATGTCAGACTTTGTGTGTTTTGTTTTTAATTGGTAACACATTTCCATAAGTCTTTATCAGAACTTGTTTTTGCACTCGCTCAGATCCATATCTGACTCTTGGTTGTCACACAGAGAACGTCCGTCTCACGCACTTTTGTTTTCTGTTCCTCTATAGTATAACAAGCCCAGCGATCTGGTGGTGCCGGAGATGGTCAACGGTCTCCAAAACAACTTGGATGTAGTCGTGTCTCTTGCTGAGAGGCATTATTATAACTGTGATTTCAAGATGTGCTACAAACTCACATCGACGTAGGTGTCTATTTGGATTTGGGCTTTTTCCTAGTAACTTGGTGTTATTGAGCAAAAAATGCGTACTTCCACTCAAAATTTGCATAAAGCATTTTTTTTTGTGATAAGCAGCCAGAGTTCCTGTTATTTTGCTTGTACTAAATGTCAGTAAATTGACAAAAACAATGAAGAAGCAGAAGTTGTGATACTTTGTAAGAAGGTTGTTGTCCCCCCCACTTGATAAAAACAGGAAGTTTAAAAGACTCCTAACCTCAAGCTTTGACTCAGAAGATATGTATTTTTTATTTTTTTTCAAGGCATGCTGTTTGTTTTTCAGGGTAATGGTGAAAGACCCTTTCCATGCCAACTGTTTACCAGTTCACATAGGAACATTGGTAGAACTTGGAAAAGCAAATGGTGATAATTTAACTTGCATAGGGTGCAAACATTCACAGACCACATTTATTAGAGTTAACAGGACTGATCAGTTTTTCCTTTTTCATTGCAGAGCTGTTTTACCTTTCACACAGACTTGTGGACTTGTACCCCAACAATCCAGTAAAAAAAAAAAAATCTTATTTTTTTCTTTTAAAATTCAGACAACGGCTTTTTTGTGTTTGTAACTAAATTACATTTTTCTCAGGTTTCCTGGTTTGCGGTTGGGTGCTATTATCTCATGGTTGGCAACAAAAATGAACACGCTAGGCGATACCTTAGGTAGGTATCTGCAGTCAAAAGAAAAGGAGTCCTGCTTAGTTCCTCTTGAAATCTGATTTTTTTTGTTTTGTTTTGTTTTGTTACTTTTACTTCTTGCAGCAAAGCCACCACTCTAGAGAGAACTTATGGTCCTGCATGGATCGCCTATGGTCACTCCTTTGCAGTGGAAAGTGAGCATGACCAAGCCATGGCTGCATACTTCACTGCTGCTCAGCTGATGAAAGGGTAGGTAGCAACTGGTTCCCACTAGATACTGTCTCTTGTTTTTAGGCCAGCCTCTTACTCTGATCAATAGTCTATATTACTCACATCAATAATCATGTCGCATTCAAATCTTGTTTTTTGTTTCCCTGATTCTGATGGTCAGTATGAACGTCAGTAAATTCTCTTCAGTACACCTTCATGCCTACATGTATTGAATTGCTGCCTTATGGTTTGGTCTCTGTGGTAACAAGCAGTTGTGCAGGGATAATTAGTAAAATATTTACTTCTATGCAGAGTTCTCAAACTTTTTCTTGCATGGATACGCTAAAGGCAACAACAAAGCAAGATCAAATACTGAAAGGATGTATGAGAAACAGACATATTTAGAAATGTTTTTTGGATTTGGATTTATTGGATCATTAACTTTACTGCTCAAGAAAATAAGTTCTCAAATCCACAAGATAATGTCAAACTCAAACCCATTGCAATGGCTCCTGATAACTTTAAACAGATTGAAAACAAGTTTATTTAGGATAGTTTATTTAACCGTGGTCCCCCCCCTTTTTTTTTTGTCTTGCCAAGTTTTACTTTCTTTTGCAATACATGTTTTCATTTTACATTAAATCTGTTTGATTTCCATAGATGTCACTTACCCATGCTCTACATCGGGCTGGAGTACGGTCTAACTAACAACTCCAAACTAGCTGAACGATTTTTCAGCCAGGCGCTTAGTATTGCCCCAGAAGACCCGTTTGTCATACATGAGGTGGCCGTGGTTGCATTTCAAAATGGAGAGTGAGTATATTGCTCCAATCAAACAAGACACAGTATTCATAATAGATTTTTTTTAAAGTTAATTTTAGTCTTTGTGCAGCTTTTTTGATAATTTTTACTGAATTTACCACTGCTGATGAAATAAACAAACAATGCTCTGCAAATATTGCTAGCATGAGCTGTTGTTTTATAAGATATCTGCATGTTTTGCCTCCTCGACTGGTGCAGGTGGAAGACGGCAGAAAGGTTATTTCTAGATGCAATGGAGAAAATCAAAGCCATTGGGAATGAGGTGATTCATTTCAATTTAATATGTGGCTTTAAAATTTACGTTCTACATAAGCTTTACTTATAATTTGTTTTTTGACTGAATTTAAGGTTACAGTGGACAAGTGGGAGCCTTTGTTGAACAACTTGGGTCACGTGTGTAGAAAACTAAAGTGAGTACAGTCATTAAATTGTTTTTTTATGACCTAATGTAAACTGATCAACACCTTGTAAGCTATATTTGAATCTACTATCGATTTATTTTTAATCTGTTAACTGCTAAGCTTCTGAGGCTGTGGGGAAAAAAGCATCCTTGTTTCAAAAATTTAAACTTGAACAGTCGAAGGTATTGAACGAATGCTTTGTCTCATGTGATAAATACAGGACTTGAATACTAGTCAACATTTAGTGTTATTAAATTCAGTCTTTGAATAACAGATGTTTAAACATGCTTCATATTTTAGAAAGTACGACCAGGCTCTGGAGTACCATCGTCAAGCTCTAGTGTTGATCCCACAGCATGCCTCCACCTATTCTGCCATAGGATACGTGCACAGCCTCATGGGGGACTTTGAAAGTGCTATCGACTACTTTCACACGGTGAGTTTAAAAGAGTTTGACTTCTCAACGTGGTGCAGTTTCATTGTGGTTGATAGTTGTTAAAACCAGAGAAGTTGTTTTAAGTGTGAAAGTATGAACTTGTACATCACAGCACTTTAGTTTGAACAAGTATCTATAGTAATGTGCTCTCCAATCAGGTTTTTCTGAGAAGCAAAATATTTCAAGTGAACTATAGAACATTCATTAAATTTTTTTGTCGTCTTGGTTATGGTTTTAACACCGGAATAAAAAGTAGCTTGGGATTGGACTGATGTAGATTAATTATTGTTTTGTTGGTTGCCAGAGTTGTTATGTGTTTTTGTTCGTTTCTTTGAAAGGCACTTGGTTTGAAAAGGGACGACACTTTCTCAGTGACGATGCTTGGCCATTGTATTGAGATGTACATCGGGGACACGGACGCATATATAGGTTTGTGTTATATTGAAAGTAAATGAATATAATATACATATATATAAAAAATATATATATATCATTTTTTTCCAGCAGTTTCACTTGGTCTGAAAGACAATTTTTTTTCATATTTGAAGGAACTGTTTTAACAAAATAAAATGTAATACATTTTCACATTAATGTAAGACGAGTAGATATAATGTGCTAAGAATGATTTTAGATGGTTAGATAGGGTCCTATGATTTCTGCTTCGTTAGATTTCGTCCATTCAATCCATAATTACACACTTTTTGGATAATTAATACAGGTAGAATGGAAAACCGAGAAAAGGGAGTGAAATTCAGAAAAAAAACATATATCAGTAAAGTAATAAAACAGATTTCATAGGGCCCCACAATTAGATGTGGTAGTAAAGTCTTTGTATGTTTCACTTTTTGTTGAAGATTGTCACATTAGCCCATTTACAGGATGTAACTATCACATATTTACAGGATGTAAATATCACATCCTTTATTATCATAAGTAGCAATATAATTTGAGTTATAAAATCTTTTCTAGAATATCTACAAGACGCATTGTAGGAAAATAATAGCAATGGTTTTACCTTAGTTCAGTTGTTGAATTCAAATACCCATAAAACATAAAACAATAAATATGAATAATACTTGCATGAATTTCAAATTATTTTAATTTTTCTTCAATAAGGCACTGACATCAATGACAAAGTGCGAGGCAATTTGAACACCCCAGCCCTGATGAAGATGTTGAACACATCGGAGTCGACTGACCTTCAAGCCACGCCAAGGTCGGAAGAGACGAACCTGTCGATGTTGGAGACGCCGGCGTCCAATCAGGAGAAGATGATGCTGGAGACGCCTCTCCGGCTCTCATTAACGCTGGAGTGCGACATGTACGAGAGCGACGTGATGCTGGACACCCTATCAGACACCAGCACGTGATTTCATCCCGTCAGGAGGTGGAACTGTTGTAGCAACGGGTCGTCACAGCTGCACATGTCCACGCCCCGAGGACAACAGTCGGCCAAAAACTCTAGCAGATGTCCTCCACCATGTGGACTCCCCATTCTGTGTTATTTTTGTATCAGAATGCTCTTGTGAAGATTTTTAACAGAAGTGACTGAATTTGTATGCAGCACATGGCGTTTACCACAATTTCACAAGAATGCACTTTAAAGGAGGGAGAAGTGAACACATGCCTTGTTTCAAGGGTTGAATTTGTTTTACTTGGGGGTTAAAAACACTGGGAACATGTGGCCCCCTGACAGAGGATCAGCAGGATCCTCCCTGCTGATTAACCTGTGGATCTTCACTCTGAAGAAAGAGCTGGCTGAGAAAAATCAGATTTGATTTTTGGTTATTACTACAATAAACCATGCATTTATCTTAAATTCTTAGTATGCCTTGTTTTTGTCTGTCTCTTTGTGTAGAGTGTCATTTAGCAAGATTCAGAAAAGGATGGAAACACATGATGCCAACTGGTTAAACTTGGTTAAATACAAAGATGTTTAAAATGGGTTGTGATTTAAGAAACCTTTCATTTGGAAAAATATATATTCTCGGGTTTGTTAAAATAAATTCATTCATCCACCCTTATATCCAAGTTCTACTTTATCAGATGAATATTTTTAATGTTTTGTCAGTGAGAAGGCGTGTGTTCAGTTATGGATGGGGCAACGGAAGGAGGGGCTTGCCTGGGGAGCCATTCATACAAAAACCACCACTGGTGGCAACTCTCCTAAATCCTATGTGCAAACCGAGATTAACACGCCTTTCAATGGATGTCATGCCTGTTAGTTGGATTAGAAATGGGCTGTACTCCCGTCTAAATCAGCCGGCATTTACACCAGCGATCGGATCTGTCAAGATCCGGAGACGTGTTCCTCTGTTGTCCCCAACTTCAAGAACTCTGTATCCACACTTGAGGGACCCCGGCTGCGTTTCGACACAGGCAGTGGAACGAATCCACTACTTAATGGTGAGTTTATGTGTGCAGTGAAATAGTGGAATGCGACCTTGCGAGGGGTTGTGACAGATGAGGATTTATTTTCAGTTCCCTTCCGAGATTCCTACAGGCGGGTAGGGAACCGGTCTGGAGAACTGGACTCCTGCAGCTCTTCCTATATCCGAGAGCCGAACAGAACCACCGGTCTCCAAGCAGCTGATACAGACTGACTTCAAACTGGATCAAGTTCAGGTAAAGTTCGTTTTTTCATTTATTTTATTTTATTTTTTTCAGAGAATTATTATTCCTTCACATACGGCGCAAATGGAGAATTCAGAAAATGTTCCACACGATTAATTCACCAGAAAACATTGTAAAAACCATTCAATAAAAAGCATTTTCTTACCACTCGCGATATTTGACTCTCATAGTCTCGCGAGGACACAGCAACGCTCAACACCGAGCGAATTTGAGGGAGATGGGAAGAAATGAGGTCTGATAAGGACCAAATGACCGCGGGTAAGGAGAGAAGCATCTTCGAGATACAATTGAAAGACGTCCCAAGAGAGCAAGAAAACATTCCCGCCAACGCCAAGCCGAAAGAAGAGAAGAAGGAGGTTTTCACCAAGGTACGTAGCCGAGCTGTTGTTTACGAACAGACATGGAGACTCGAGTGGGAGGAAAGGAGGTTTCAGCACCAAGGATAGCAACAGGGTCAGAAGAGGGGAATATGAGGAAGCTGGGGCGAAAACTACTGCTCTTTATTCATGTATTTATTGATTTATATGAATTGTGTCTGTGCTACAGTCATTGGAGCTGTTTTTGTCACCATTTAACATGAATAGGTGACAGTTGGACGAAGGAATCCAGTAAACGCTGCACATTGGAATATCCTGTTATGCCTTCGTCAAAAACAAATACATAAATAAATAAATAAATACGACGCTTATTTATTTACTTGTTTCTTCTCTATTTCAAGAAGTCGCAAACGACATCGTGTTCTACCATACTGTCCAGGACCGGCCGAAGTATAAGCGAACTAAGTCACAGCAGGGGGAACCCAGGATCTCTTGATGGCTCACAATGTGTTCAATGTGTTTTAATGAACCGCCTTTTAAAGAATCTAAGCTTTTTAAGCAAACTAACATGTATTGATATGTTGTAAAGCATTGTGAGTCCTTTCAATTTGAGCTCTACCTATGTGCATTGAATCGGATGTTTATTTATTGGTGCACAAGAAATATTGTGCATCAGTAACGGTGGCATTGATTTTCCAATCTTACGAATTATGAAAATTGCCGTCGACATTTATTCTGATTGGTATTTGCTTTTTTCTTTGTGTGTTGAGTCTTTGTCATTCAATATGATTATCGTTAGATTTACCATATGTGTTAAAAGTACATCAATACTCTCACTGGCTTGTGCAACCTTCTGCCAAAACATTACTTAATGTTGTTCTGTAACATTTTTTCAGTATGTTTTTGACCATTCTACTTTCCACATTTTCTCTAGATACAAAAAAACGTAATTTTTTTGAAGGCTTTTTACATGTTTACCAGAGGAGCCAATAAATAGCACCTTTCCAAACAGCAGAAATGTACACATCATCCAAATAATGATTGTGTTCAGACACATCCCTTCATATCAACGACATGGGGTCACTGACTTGTTATCAGATGAATTGATAACAAAGAAGGTAATCAGAAAGACCTTTAAGGCTTAGATTGTATCATGGCTGTAATGTACAGTGTGAAGGTTTAAACTATGAAGATCAAAACTCGACTTGCTTTGATGTAAAATTTATTTTCTCTGCTTTTTTTTTAGGTGGTTATTCGAAGACTCCCTCCTAACCTGTCAAAGGAACAACTGGAAGAGCATCTCAGTCCTCTTCCATCTTATGACTACTTTGAGTTTTTCCCAGCAGATCAAAGGTATGGTGAGGTTTTATGGCCCTGCGGTTCAATTGCCCACTTTTTTCATCCTCGTTTATTGACCGGTGTTTGTTTTTGCCTTTCCAGTCTCTATCCCCACCTCTTCTCCAGAGCTTATATCAACTTTAAAAGCACAGAAGACATCCTGCTGTTCAGGGATCGATTTGATGGCTATGTCTTTATTGACAACAAGGGTATTTAAATTTTTTCTAAGCCCATTTTGACTGTGTTGACAGCTTTAACCTTGAATGTAGACTTGTGACGTTCAGCTATAAGAAGTACAAACAGAATCTTTGGAGATAAATGTTGACTTTGATAAAGGTGAATTAGAACATTTGTTGCAATTGTTACCTTTTGACAGCTGGTCTATTTAATTTGACTCCGTTTTCAATATTCACCCAGGTCAGGAATATCCTGCTGTGGTAGAGTTTGCGCCTTTCCAGAAGATTTCCAAAAAGAAGCTGAAGAAGAAAGATGCCAAAGCCGGAAGTATTGAAGAAGGTAGGAAAGGAGGAAAATAGATCAATTCTCACAAAATGTACTAATCTTGTGTGGCATTTACTTTATTCTTGCATGAATTTAGAATTAATTCAGCGCAGACAAGTTTAGCGTACAGACTTTTTAAACTGCATTTTATGTCCCTTTTCTTTTTCTTCTTCTTCTATGAATTTCATGTAGATCCAGAATACAAGCGCTTTTTGGAAAACTACTCCTGTGATGAGGAGAAGTCCATGGCTAATCCTGAGACACTTCTTGGGGAGATAGAAGCTAAGACCAAAGAGCTCATTGGTACAATACCACACATTTTGGACATTTTTTTTTTTACTTTAGCCTCTTTCTAGCCTTATCATTTTTAATATTACCACAACCAGGAAAAAACATAATTCAATAGCAAGTAGACAATATATAGACAAATAAGTAAAACCAAAAGCACAATCCTGTCACACTTACTTTTTTCAATTAGATTCATATCCCAGATGCCAAGTAAGATGATATCAATATTATATGATAAATTACATTTCACTATATTTACTTTAGGTGTTTTATATTTGTCTGTTGCCCAGTAGGTGATACTTTGTTTTGTTTCTAACGTTAAAATGTTGTGAAACGAAAAAAGAAAAACACCAATCTATATTTGCAGGGCAGATTTTTATCTGCTCTTTTTTTTTGTTGGAATGGATTTGTGTTGTTTTAATTGAAAAGTCTTTCTCCAGACATGTCAAAGGTTTTTAATTCAGATATATTTTTTAATATCCACATCAATTTTATGTGAGTGACTCTAATTTCAAGTATTAATAACAAAGGAGTATAAGCTTATTTGGACTACGCACTCGCCAGCTCCTCCTTATCTTTTGCATCCAAAATACTAAAAGTTACCTCATGTCCAAAATTTACAAAATAACTACCGCATTTCTTTGCAGTTTACTTAAAGTTAATGTTACTCGAAGAAATCAACTCAGTTTCTGATTTCTTCTCTGTTTGCTTTTAGCCAAACGGACAACGCCTCTCCTGGAGTACATCAAAAACAAGAAAATCGAAAAACAGGTGAGATGGAACCACGGTTGTAAAGACAAGAGCTAAAGCAAACAAAGAAATCCTTTTCTGTGCATCACACTTTCACCAGAGAATAAGAGAGGAGAAGAGAGAAGAGAGAAGAAGAAGGGAGCTTGAAAAGAAAAGGCAACGGGAGGAGGAGAAACGAAAGCGCCGAGAGGAGGAGAGACGCAAGCGAAAAGAGGCAGAGAAGCAGAAGAAGCTGTCCGATAAAGACATCAAAATTAAGGTCGATCCTCATTTCTGAAGAAAATACCTTTTACCAGCTTTTTGCCTTTCCATTTCAATTAAATATCTCAGAGCAATGTATTTTGTCATATTTGCATTGATAGCTCCTAAAGAAGAGTGACAGAGACGATGACGTTGATTCTGACCGGATGAAGGAAAAAAGTGAGCCTTGTGATGCAGGCGTGGGCAAGTGGGAGAAAACTGGAGGACAAATGAAGTCAAAAGAACCAAAAGAAAAGTAAGAAACACCTAATCCATGAAATGAACAAGTAGTGTGCAAAAGTTTATTTTTATTCTTAATGAAAGCCAGAGAACAACCCAGCTTCATCCCTTTCACACATATGAAAAAGTCTTGCTACTATTTTTAAAAAGTATCGATGTAACTTTTAGGAAAATGTGAGAATTTTGAAAACAGTAGACATAATTCACTACTTGCTGCTTTTTTACTGTTACTGTATTTTCAGCATTTCAAAACAGCTGTAAATATTTTCACGATGAAAGAAAAATTATTGTTTTTCAGTCTTTAAATCTTAGGCTGAAGTACAATAAGTTACATTAAGCCTTAAATTCAGGTACAGCGATGACCCTGAATTCCTCCTTTGTGTTACTGCTAGCATTGCTGTAATACACGTTTCAATATACATTTGACCAGCAGAGGTCAGGCTGAGAGCGACAAAGAGCAGAGAGATCAGCACGGCCGCAGGCAGAGAGAAAAGGACCACCGCGGCAAGGACGAGGAAAGAAAAAGGCAACGACACCACTACGAATTCGACAAGTTCATGCGGCGGAAAGACGAGACCAAATGGGGGAAGGGCTACTGCCAGGACCGAGCCAAGAAAGAGGGCCATCATCATGGCTATTCTTACTGTCCTGACGGGGCAGATAAAATGGGAAAGGAGGACAGGGAGGACCTGAGCAACAGAAAGGAACGCCTCCGAAACAAGGTGAGCGAGAAGGTGAGCATGAGATTGAACAGGAAGGTGGTTCCAGATGTCTCTCGTGATGCTGAACGCCTGTGAGGAAATCGCAGTGGAACACAAATAATTGTGTTTGGTTTTGGTTTTCTGATTCACTAAATATCCAACATGTTTTTCACAAAGTTATGTGGTATTTTTTGGGAAGAGGGTGAGAATTAGAGGCAAAATGTATAGAGTTGCAAAAGACTTGGGTGGAAGGTTACCTTCCAGGACAGTGACTTTGAACACACTGAGAGAGATATCTATGTGTTAGAAGTCAGTGTGTAGACCTAAATCTGATTGAATATTTGTGGAACAATTTAAAAGTCTATTATTTATTACTTTACCACATACAAACCCCTATTGTATGTGGTCATAACACAACAAACTGTGAGAAAGTTCAGAGGGTAGATATCACTTTTGGAAGACATTGTAAGAACGTTTAGTTACTTTCTTTACTCGCCGAGGGGCTGAAATGTCTTTTAATCTTCAGGTCACAAGTGAGACAAAATGTGACAGAGTTCAAGATGTACAAGTAGTTTTTACATTACACACAATGTGCATCTGTGAATCCTGACTTGGCCTTGTTTTCATTTGACATCGCTCTCTCTCCCCATCCTGCAGGACCGTCCTGCCATGCAGCTCTATCAGCCGGGCGCACGCAACAGGAAGCGCATGAGTTCAGCTAATAAAGGCTACGACTGCCTCGCCATGGGCCATTCCCCCGAATGCAGGACGGAGCATTGTTATGAGGTCGTTGCCATGACAGCGGGACTGGAAAGGGGGTTTGAGAAAAGCAAAGACGAGCAGTGAATACTCTGGGACTCAAGAGGAAAGTAGTGGGGCATAAAAATCAGTTTTAAGGGGAAGCTGCTGTCATTGGTTGACTGATTTCTTTCTTCCTGTTTGTAGGTTGGTAATGAAATTGTATCTGTGGAACTTTCTTCCTGCTATCTGACTTTCAGGCCTGTCAACTTTTAAGGTCCCCTACTCTTGCTCTTTGTGGTAAAGAGGTGTTTCAGTTCAGACATCCAGGAAAAATTTACTTTCAAGAATATCACCTTGCCTTCTGCATGAGAACTTCTTTCCAATATTTAGCATATTTTGTCATTTGTGTTGTTTTTAGTTGTCTTACGTATATAAAGATATATATAAAGAAAACTGACAGCAGATCTTTAAAAAGTAGGGTAAGAAATGTCCTTTACTATATTTACAGGCAACCAGCAGACTAAAAATTGATTATAAAATCAAATTTCAATGACACGATTTTTTTTGTGTCTGTAATGCGTTGTACATAATCAACTACAGTGCCACAAGAAAGTATCCTTTTATGCTTTTCCATATTTTATTGCATTAAAACTGATTTGGGTGTAGCTTTCTTCATATAGCTTACTATATTTAGTTTGCTTATAGTACAGTGTTCTATAAAAATGTTAAAACGACAATTTTATAAGTAAGAAAAGAAAACAAACAAATATAGTAGGTACATAAGTATTCACAACATCAGATCACAACTGATGAGCAGCAGTAACATTTGATGAATTTTGTGGTTGAACGTGATTGCCACTAGAACACATTTGTTCATACGAGGTCCGGCAGTGTACAGAGCAAAAACCAAGGAGTTTTCTGTAAGACCCCCCCAAAACTGGAACTATTAAATCACAAAAACTAGCATGCATCACCACTGTCATCTTTTGGTAATGCATCAACAGAAGCCTTATCCAGGACGTTGCAACTCATTACCCTGAACCTCAGAGGAGGGTAAAAAAAAAATCTTCCAGCAAACACAATGACACAAAGCACACAGTCAAAATACCAAGGAAGGAGCATCAGGGGCAAACTGTGAATGTTCTCGAGTGACTCAGACAGAACCCAGACTTGAATCCAGCTGAATATTTCTTGAAATACCTGAAAATGACTGAATATATACATTAAAAACAGGGTGGAAATACCCCCAAAGCAGTGGCGCCGTGCTTATGAACTTACTATATTCAAATGTATTTTTTTATAAATATGAGAAATGTCTGAAAAAAATTTTATTACTGTTTTGCAATGGATTATATTGAGCAGGTCAAAAAGAACTAAGCTCATATTGTTCATATTTGTTTTAACATGAAGCTATAATCAAATGTGGAACAGGCAAGCTGTTGTGAATATTTTCTTGTGGCACTGTAACAGATGAAAGTAACAAGTTACGAATAAATATGAACAACATTTAAAACATTTTGGATTGATTAGTAACATGATGTTTAAAATATATCTTATTATTTTACTGCTGTCAACAAAATAAACTGTCAATAAATCAATTTTAAAAGCCTTCCATTATGTGAATAGACGGTATGTGAATGCTTTTGTTTTTCTGCTTTCAGTTTTTGTGTGTGTGTGTGTGTGTGTGTGTGTGTGTGGTGTGTGTGTGTGTGTGTGTGTGTGTGCTGAACTGTGAGAAAATAAATGTCTGCAGTTAAGACACATTTAGCTTGGATTCGGTTATTTTGGTTGTTTTTGGGCGAGGCTGTTTTAGCTCCAAAACTGCTTATTCTGCACATAAAATGAGTCACTTACAGTCAGGGCTGTCGAGGACAGTCCTGCCCTTCTCGCTCCGAGTGAACCAGAAGGCTGATCAAATGTACACAGCAGGTATGCGGCCACACACATGCCTTCCTTTTAAATCATTCTGTATTACAAAAAATTGTTATTATCCTTTGTGTTATCTGGTGTCCTGCTCAAAGAGATAAACATGAACTATGCCTGGCAAACTTTCCCCTAGATAAAGCAGAACTGTAACAATCAACAGGAAACTGGTCACATCAGAGCACACGTTGCATGAACTCGTGAGCAATCCCCAACTATCGCATTCTGTCTTCACTTTATAGCAGACTTTCTCGCAGCACACTTAAATTTAAATAAATATAAATACACTGCGTTGGTATTGTATCTGGGTGTGTACTTAGAAGCTTAGAAGGTATATAACTCCCCTGCTTTTGAGTACGGTATATTGTTTGCATGTTCATTCTATTGTTGAACTGGTGTGAACTTTATTATTATTATTTATGCAAACGCTCATAACAGAAAGTGATATCATCACACATGGCATGTTGGGATTTCCCTAACAGTACATATTTGTGTTTCCATTGTGGTTCACCATAACCTCTTAATAATGACCCACTGTGTTGTACTTTTGTATGATGTGCTCTGAAAATGTGCAAGTTAGTTAAGAGTGGAAAATATTAACATCATTGTGAGAAATAATGCAAGGTGAATGGAGGGGTGTGAGTGTTTCACATATCAAGATCGGTTGTGTCGGAAGCCTTCGATATGACTGTGCCCCGAGCTTCGATTTCAACCGTGAATCAAACACGTGGCCGTTACTACAGTTGGTAGGATGACAGTTGTCACATGGTGCATTTCCTCTCAGTGGCACTCTATCAAGTTTAGAGCCCATTTCCTCACCAGCCTTCCTCAGTCAAAGTATCTCTCCCTCCATCTACAACTGCCACACACGTGCCCACCTGCCTTATTTGCCTCGCTGCTCACAAAGGTACGTTTTGAACTACAAATTTCAACAGTGGCAAACTTTTTGTTACTTACAATTCAGTGTTAATCCTACTGTGTTCTCTGTGGCGCCTTTTGTTTGCTTTTAATTCTGTGCTTTAATCATCCGTACATTGTGTTATTGTATCGATGTGTGATGTAACTACTTAGGAAGTCTAATTTGGACAACGTGGCGTTCTTGTTTGTACCGAGTTACTCAACATGAACAACAACAACAGAGAAGTTAACTTTTTGTAACATACTTTGTTTTTGAGAACGTCTACTCAACTGGGCACAATGGTGATAATAAGTAAACAACCAAAGTGAGATAGTTTGAATAGGGTGTGGAAATCAAAGATGTTACTGTGTTAAAGTATTGAGTCGTTGCTCTTCTATTATTTGTTTTTTTTTTTTCTTTGTTTTGGCCAAATTTTGCGTTAAATTGATATGGATCAATCTTTTCTGAATAACTTTCAAAGAATTTTCATCAGGTTTTTACGGTTATTTTTTTTTTTTTTTTTTACTTATATTTCATCTGTGTATTTAAAAGACTACAAGCCTGGTTCCTCATTTATTGGGCAGGACTGCCCAATAAATAAAACTTATTAATCAATCCATTTTCTACATCTGCCGAAAGCTGACTCGGTCGGGGCGGAGCTGGCGTCTTGGTCAACACAAACTAATTTTATGTCAGTACCTATTAAATACATAGTTACATAATAGCAAATAAATAAATGTAAAATTTTGGATTAAAATATTAAGTAATTACATATTCCAATAATGTAATGATAATTTATATTCGGGGGGTATTATGTAAAATCGACTTTTTTGAGCATTACTTCCTGATTCAGTGTTATTCCCTCATCAAAAACAGACTCGGCGTGTTGCTTTGACTCTTTCGTGAATGTTTGAGAAACTCTTAATTCTCCCATGACAGCCATTCAGGGCACTGAAACGCTCCATCTCAGAGCTGCAGTGTCCAAAAGGAGCTTCTGCCTCACAGAGCACCTCTCCCTTGTACTCCCCCCTCTCTGCTCCTACAGACTAGCATCAGCAACAAACACCGGCAGAACTGCACATTTGCTGAGCTTATCATATTTACTACTTCGCAGCGCAAGCGCTCTTAAGAATGTTAAAAACGTGATGACAAAACACTGTTTCAATGACGTGCATAAATCGAAGTGTCCGTTCATGAAACTTGTATACTCAGTTGTGCCTGTTGTCTCTAATTTGCAACAGACACTTTTTTCTATTAAATGGGCTATGTTGAAATTAAGAATCTGAACTTGTTCTACGATCTGCTTGACGGCAATACACTCAATTTTGATTTTGAGTGATTTCAAGTAAAAGGAAACAGTAAATGATCCATGTGTTACAGTGCACTATAACTACAGTAATTGTCACTATGTTTCTCCAAATGCCCGTAACACCTTATTGGCTTACCTGCCCAGGAGACAGAGTTGCGAGAAAATGAAATCTACTCAATCTAAGGCAGTGTAGACTGCAAATGGTTCAGGGATTTAAGTGGAGCGCTGGTGGCAATTATTAGGAAACAAAGATAACAAGTCTCATCTTTTTTGACAACCTGGAACCTCCTGTACCACCAACACCATCCCCACCACACAGGAGAGAAAGTGTTTTCTTACCATACCCATGCTGACATCCTGACTTCAAACCACTCGCTGGGACTGACGAGATATGATTATTTCTTCTCAGTTGAAGACATGTCAGAGACAGATTTGATTTTGAAATCCACATTTTAAAACTTTGCAACTGTATAAAAGGTGCTGAGAGTTTGCATACCTTACCACAAATCATGCATGCCCTTTTCCTGTGTGAAAACTCCACCCTTTTGCATGTGCTTTCTTCTCGCACACAAACAACCCGGGCTGATAGAACCTGAATCTCATTTTCACACCTTACCTCAAAAAAAGCCTTAGCTCCAAAAAAGATATGCATTGCGTGCATCACATCAGAGAAGCTGTCTTTCTTTTTTTCATACCCCTCCTTTGTGATTTCTGGTACGGCGTGTTTTTTTTTTTTTTTTCTGCCTTTTCATTCTGATTTTACGAAAGTAACGAGATGTTTGTGAAAAGACCTGCTTGTCATCGTTCTGATGTTATCTTGTAGACAAATGAACATGACTACCAAGGACAAAAAAACAAAAAAAAAAAACCCTCTCATGTTGATTTCTGACACACAGGTAATAGGTGACCATTCCATCCCATCATGACGGGAAATTCCAGCCGGACGCAGCTCGATAACGCCACCCTGTCACTGTTCCAGGATGTGAACACCAGCACTATCATATCTGTTATATACATGCTTGTCACTGTCATCAACTGGGTGGGAAATGGTCTCTCAATGTGGCTCCTGCTGTTTCGTACCTCCCCGAAAACGCCCTCCATCATATTCATGATTAATCTAACTCTCACTGACTTGGCTCTTGGCTCCGCCCTCCCCTTTCAAATCGCCTACCAGCTCCTAGGATACAACTGGAAATTGGGGTCTCATATGTGCAGGTATTAATGCTTCAAGAACTTTCTATTTCTTTTCCACTGAAAAAAAATTATTAGAATTTATCACTACAATAAAATTGCTGTTTTAAAACTAATATTTGTTCAGATAAAATCAGAAGGTTAGTCATTTGACTTCTCAATCTACTTCTGATGTTTTACCATCTTTTAATTGTTGCCAAAATGTCACAACTTTTCCCTGCTTTTCTTAAACCTGTAATGAAACACAGTCCTTTGCTGTTTTTATTTTTTTTTTTTTTTTTTGCTTCCCCCCTGCAGCTTCATGACCCTCGTTTTCTACGCCAACATGTATTGTTCTATCCTGACCATGATGGCCATCGGCATTGACCGCTACCTGGGCATCGTGAAGCCCATGATGTTCCGGAAGAACAAGAAGAGAAAGTCTGTTGCTGTCATCAGCTGCCTTCTGATGTGGGGTTTGGTCCTGGGTGTTTTGTACCCTCTTATGACCACCGACCTGACCTTTGAGGTCCCAGAGCTCAAGATCATCACATGCTTCGACGTGCTGAAAAAAAACATGCTGCCGACCGTGGGGGCCTGGGCGGCTTTCCTGTTCAGCATGGTGATTCTTCTCTTCCTTTTTCCCTTTTGTGTCACAATGTTCTGCTACATTAGTGTCATATACAAGCTGTCCAAAGATTCCAAGACTGTCCAGAAAGGGAGAGCCATACGTCTGGCTGTTGTTGTTCTGCTGGTCTTCGTGATCTGCTTCGCTCCCAACAACATCCTCTTATTGGCTCACAGTGTCCTTAGGCTCTTCTATGATAAGTCTTTGTACATGGCCTATAAGCTTTCTCTCTGTTTTAGCTGTCTGAATAGCTGTTTGGATCCTTTCATTTATTACTTTGCTTCAAAAGACTTCAGGCAGAAGCTCAGAGAGATAATGAATCTGCAGAGCCTGAGTAGTGCAGACTCTATAAGGATGGAGAACAAAGAGACTTTGTACTCTGGATAAGCGGATTTATAAAGTGAGGAAACATATTCAGGTGCCTTTATGATGCCGTAACTACCCTAACAAACCAAAAACTAAAGGGAGACTTGCGAAAGAAAACAAGTGACTAAAGGAAAGGAGGGGTTTTGAGATCTTGCAACATTCGTTCTTGGTCCATATTGCAAAATCTTCATACATATGTCTCTTCCTTTACCAATAGCTTTTAAGGTTTAAGCTGTTGCACAGTGACTAAAATGTTATTGGTCCAATTGTAGTTTGAGAGTTTTCTCCATTTTAAATGTAATCAAGTGGTTGGGAAATCGTGGAGTCCCGCAAGCATGTATGTTGGGCCCACAGTCATTTTGCTTGTTCACCAATCATCAGCAATTGTCACCTGATATCTGCAGATGTTGCAGTCACACACACAAAATAGCAATGATGACTGAGCGGCTGCTAGGATTGTTGCAGAAAATGGGCAGTCTCTCAGTTTACAGTGACAGAATGTATTTTACAAAAATCCTATGAAAGATCCATCCAAATATTGGCATTATATTTATATAAATTGGGCTGAACAAGTATGGATGTCAAAAACTGTTTGTATGTTAGTACAATGAAATATAATGTAACAAACATGAAGGTCAGAAATGAGACATCTGTGTCCATTAATCCTTGCCTGGCTTACTGTGATAAAGCAACTTCAAACCCCATAACATCACTCTATAATCAAGCTCTATAAGACCAATTCTTTTCACTATTTCATGATCATACTTTCTTATAAACAAACTCCGTATTCAGACGGTTGGCTTGCTTTTTAATATGTTCAAAAATAACTTATTTTTGAACAAATAATTTGTTATTTGTTCAAAAACGACATTGTTGTTTTACCATCTTTTAATTGTTGCTAAAATGTCACAACTTTTCCCTGCTGCTGTTGTTTTTGAACAACGTTCAGTGAGATCCTCATTTGCTGAGTGTAGAATCTTGCTATTGAATACATACTAACCAAAATAAGATTTTGAACTTTTCACGTGACATGAACCAATAGGATTAGCTGCTGTACAAATGAAAGAGTGATAAACATCAACCAACAGCATGTGCTGATATTGAACGTCACATCATGTCTGTTATTTTTACAAAAATATGTAGCATCCAAAACTGTGAACTGTTGTAAAAATGTACATATTATGTTAGCCTTAACATCCCCAAATAAGTTTTAGCTTCAGGTTGTTGTTATTTTTTATCTGTCTATTAAGATGTCAGTGCTATGTGCTGTATAAATGTATGAAATTGACAATATTTTCCTTTCGTTTTATTAAATGATTTCCCCTCTGTTTTCAAGATTTTTTTGTATAAAGTGATTATTATCTTCGTCATTTTTGATATTACTTTTCTCGTCCACTGCAGAGTGGGTGTGTTCCTTACCAGTCAGACACATTAGAGATGTGCTGAGGAGTTAAAAATAAGCAAATAGATTTATTTGACAAGGTCTAGGTGCTCAAATATTGTGCCAAGACAAGTAAAGTAAAAAGTAAAAAGAAATTGTATAACACATCACCAACACCATATTTAAACACTTTGATTGAAGAGACCAAAGCTCCTTGAAGTAGATAAACACCTGCATGGCAGTGGTTGTCTTGAGATTTTAATTCAATTACCAGGTGTTATACCATATTTTGAATCCATTTTCATAATTTCATGTTGTTTTTAAGTTTTTTATTTAACACAACATATGAAGGACGATTTTTTTTACATCTCTAGTGCATTCAACACTATCGATCCAGGTCTACTTGATGAGAGCTGATGCCGATGCAGGTGGCTTTCCCTCTTGTGTCCCAGATCGTCTAGCAAACCACAGTTCATGCACCTGCAGCGCTGTGTGTGAAACAGTGTTGTCAGCAACACAGGGGCTCTACAAGGGACTTTCTCTCCCCACTCTTCCTATTCACCCTTTATAGTTTTGGCTTCAGCTATTTCACTGATGCCTGTCATCCACAGAAGTTCTTGGATGACTCAACTGCAGTTGGTTGTATTAGTGAGGAGGATGATGAGGTTGAGTGGAGGGCTGCTGTGGACTACTATGTCACATGATGTGAGCTGACCCACCTGCAGCTCAGTGTGACAAAGACCAAGGAACTGGTGGTGGATCTGAGGAGGAGGATGTCGGTGACTCCTGTTTTCATCCGGAGCGTCAGTGTGGACATTATGGAGGTGTATAAATGTCTGGAACTCCATATTGATTGTAAATTGAACTGAATTAAAAACGTGACGTTCCCTACAGGAAGTTGCCTCTATTTTCTGAAGCAGCTGAGGTCCTCCAACATCTACATGACCTTGTACAGGATGTTTTCTGAGTCTGTGGTTGAAGGTGCTATCCTGTTTATGTGGTGTTCTGGGGCAACAGGCTGAAAGTGGAGGTCACCAACAGACTGAATTAATTTAAGGCCAGAGAGGTGAACTGAAATAAGCATTTCACCCTTGGGGATCAATAAAGCATATTCTATAACATTTTATAACATTAAATACATATGATAAATTATATATGTATTACATATATTATTGAATGTTATGGGATGAGGTGTTTTCAGCCTCCGCTCGCTGCCTGACGATATCTTTAGACAATATTTTCATATGTTTACTTGATCAACAAAAGCTGGAGTTCGCCGCTTTCGCCGGTGGAATGTTCTCCATTAGACGCCGGCTGAAGAATGGCGCGCACCCAAAGGCATTCGATCCTTCGCCTGTGCACTACGTCATCACTTTGCAGCCGTCATTCGGGTTATGTTAGCAAGCTGCTCTTTCCATGTTTCCTGGCTTCTGAAGGTAAGACGGGAGACCAGCGAACAGCTGTTGAATGAAACGATACGTAATTTTTCTAATTAATTCTCGTTCGCGGAGCAGAGTGAGTCGTAGAAGTGAACCTTGCTGGTTTTGTCACGGGTTTCTGTTAAGCTAGCTTACATGAGGTAGTGCTGCTTCAACTGTGAGTGAGGGAGTTACTAACCATATATTTACACAAGTAACATTACATAAATGCATGAATAACTTTACACATGATGTCCTGAATAGCACATCTGCGCAGTTATCGTTAGCTGACTCCAGTGGCTGCAAATGCTAATCTGTTTATTCAGTGTAAAGATGCTGCAGCATAAAAACAATCTGTCCAAAACTATGCAAATCTCATTGGGTTCATTTCACTGCTGAACATCATGTGAGGGAGCTGAAAGTTTGCTGTTATGGCAATACATTCGTTGATAATGTGTGTAAAATGAAATAAGTAATAAGGACAGAAAGATTTAAATAAAATCTCACACTAAAGGTGCAGCTTGTATTGTGATTTACTTCTTGAGTTTTATTGATGAGCTGATGGCAAAGGGTGAAGTCAAGGTGATCGATTGTCTGTGTGTCTGATAGATCTGTGGCCTCATCCATGACACTTCACTCTTTCCTTGCACCTCTCAGGTCAGCTGAACTCTTAAGGCCACCATGGTGCTAAATCCAGTCATTTCTAAGCTCTCTGGTAAACTGGTTGTACTGGCCAGTTCCTCTCCTAGGAGACTGGAGATACTCCGCAATGCGGTATGTATTTGGTTCAGTAAAGCAGCCCCCAAAACTACTATTGTTAGAAATATAATGTTGCCAGATTTACAAAATTCATTAAAAGTATCGCAGCAAATGGATTATATTGCTCTCCTGCTGTCAAGTTATATAATAAAATGACATTCTGTTCAAATGGATTGTCTTTTTTAAAAAAATGTGTGGTTCCTACAAGTTTGCTTCAGAGATGAAGACATCCTGCATTCATTTTTATGGTTTTTTTTTTAAATTATTATTTTTTTTATTAATTTAGACTTAGATGCTTACACTCTAAATTGTTCAATCACGCTTTTCTCTCTTGCATGCCAGGGTTTACGTTTTGAGGTGGTGCCGTCTTGGTTTAAAGAAACTCTCGATAAACGACTTTTCAAAGCCCCTCAGGAGTATGCTGTTGAGACAGCCAAGCAGAAGGCCCTGGAGGTGGCCAGGAGGATGCCTATTGTGAGTTTAGCTATTTTCTTATTATAATATGCTAAATCTCCTTCAAGCAAGTATCTTCTCATGAACATATTCTGGCCTAACTTGCTTCAGAAACACTTGAAAACTCCTGACATGGTGATCGGAGCAGACACAATTGTGGTAAGATGAGTAAGGCATTGCAGAATTTGCCCACATGATGTTATCTTAAACTTGTTTGCATCAAACTGTTTACATGTTTTGGGGCCATAATTTGCAGTCTGTCGATGGTATGATTCTGGAAAAGCCGGTGGACAAACAGGATGCATACAGGATGCTGTCTAGGTATGGACTTTATACTGTCTTACAATTTACATTGAAACATTGAAAACAGAAAACAAGTATGATTTTTCTTTTCTTTTTATTTTTCAGTTTGAGTGGTAAAGAGCATAGTGTATTTACTGGAGTTGCCGTTGTCTTGTGTCATGAAAAAGACGGTATGTTTTAACATTCTAACAGTTTGGCTTTTGGCACATTTCCACAACTTAACGTAAAAAAAAATGTATAGTTGAGGAGATTTTTTTTTTTTTTTTTACCTTTGAAATAATTATTTTTTAAATTTCAAAGTAATGTTAAAAAGTAATTTTGAACCTTTCCTGCTCCCCTCCCAGATGATGAAGTGGACTACCAGTTGATAGATTTCTATGAAGAAACTAAGGTTAAGTTTGCTGATCTCTCACAAGATATGCTATGGGAGTATGTCAATAGTGGTGAGCCCATGTGAGTATATAAATTTGAACTTTGAGATTCAGTATGTAATATCTACTCACTCTTTGTGAGATAACATCACCCAGCAGTTCATAGTTTTTGGGGGGATTTTTTAACTCGGTGTGAGGTGCATGAACTCGTCTGTTTCTGGACTTTGAAATTTGTTAAGGCTGTATTCACCTTGTTTGATTTAGCAAGGTTTTTCCATCCTCCCATCCATCAATCAGTTATCTGAAACTGGGTCATGAGGGCAACAGGACCAAGAGGGAACCTGGAACATGCCTCTCCTAAGCACCATCCTGGGGTATTCCAAGGCATCCCCTGGCCAAATGGACTATATAATCTCTCCAGCGAGTTTTGGGTCTTGCCTGAGGTTCCCTCCTAGAAAACCTCTAAAGGGAGGTGCTCTGAACTACCTTAACTAACGCTTTCCCGTGGGGAGAGTCATCAACTCTACTTTGAGCTCTTTCCTAAATGATGGAACTCCTCACCCTTTTTCTTTAAACCTCCGTCCAGCAGTCCTCCAGAATAAACTCATTTCATCTGCTTGTTTGCTCAATTATGATCTATGCCTCATAACCCTGTGATGATCGGACCGTAGATATAAATTGAAAGTGCAGCTCTTTCTTCACCACAGCAGATCAGATCAGCGCAAGTAGTTCTGCAAACAAAACCTCTATCTGTCAGTCCATTTTCTGCTAATCTGACACGAAGGCACTTGGTGTCAGATTATATGTTCAGGGTTGCCCTGTTTTGGCAAGTCTGACCAGTTTTTATGTTCTCACTGAAGTAAAGAATCCTGCATAGAATGATGCTGCCACCACCATGTTTCACCTTGGAAAAAGGTCGTTCAGGGTGGTGTGCAGGGTTAGTTTTCCAACACACCCTCTATCTAAACATATATTACTGCTTTCAGTCTACGTAATGCTGTGAAGTAAAATGTTTTCTGTTTTGTGTGTGTCAGGGACAAAGCTGGTGGCTACGGCATTCAAGCTCTCGGCGGCATGCTGGTGGAGTACGTCCACGGAGACTTCTTAAACGTTGTCGGGTTTCCCCTCAACCACTTCTGCAAACAATTAGACATTATTTTCAACCACTGCTCTTTCGACAACCCTAAGACAACCAAATCTGCCTACCGTCATTCCACCCCAATTGTAATTGAGCAGAAAGACACCTCCACATCCATCCCTAGACCCAGCAGCCCTTCGGCCAGCCCGCTTCATAAGGTTCGTCAACGTAAAAATGCTGTTGGTCTTTGGTTAATTTTGCTACAGCGGCTGTGTTTCTTACAGGTGAAAAAAAAAGACAGAGAAAACGAGGCAAAGGTCAATAGCTTGTCGAAACAGGATGCTGGAGAAACCAAGCTTCATAATTCTGAAAGTATCATAATGAGGAGTAGAGATGGAGCCGTCATTGATCAAACCGAGCCTAAAAAGAGAGACCTGGAGTTGATTTATGAGCTAATGGATGGATTCAAAGCCTCAAAGGTAACAGGAGTTTCCAGTCTACATTTTACCTTTCAGCTTATAGTTTTTATTGAGAATCTCTATGCAGAAAGGACAATTGGTCACATTTTATTAATTCATTTTTTCACACATTTGTTCTAATATTAAAGCAAAACGTTGCCATTTTGTTGAGGACGCTGAGCCAGGTGTTAAAATGTGGTTTACAACTTTCACTTTTGCGCTTATTTTTTTAGTTGCATTGCTTCCTGTTTTTTTTTGTTTTGTTTTGTTTTTAAGTTTCCTGGCAACTTCATTGTGCTCATCAAAACATGCTTCTGGTGATAAAACACGGCTGAGATTGATATCTTTATGTCTCTTGATGAGTAAGTTAAATATATAAGGTTTTTCGAAGAGCATCATGACAAAGTGGAAAAAAAAATTGTTCTTGTAAAATGTTTCAGAATTCCCCCTACAGATTTGCACATTTCTTTCTGTTTTGCTTTCTCGAGAGTGCTTGCTGTAACACTGGTTCCCACAAAATGAAGTATTTTCTCATGTTGCGTCAATCTCACCTCTCACTTCTTTCATCAAATGCTGCTTCATTTTTGCTCACCCCTTTTGATCTCTTCCAGCGTGATGGTTATGGCTTGATTTATGTTGTTTCCACAATGTGATTCATGTCATCGGTGTAGAAGTATATCGCTCAATCAGTGCTGCACTCTTATGTGATTTACTTACCACCTCCACAGTCACACAGTCATTTTTCTTCTTCCTGGCAGCCTACATTAAAAACTCTCATGCTTCAGCAGCTCATGCCGATTCCTCTAGTTCTCACTTTCAGTTAGGTGGGACTTAGAAAAAACATGGTTTTTTTTTACACAGTTCTTCACCTTTGTCAACACCACACAATGTCTTACTTGCCTTGCATATCTAATTATATCGTCTATGAATAGAAGGTTGCTCTAGAAGCTTGCAGCTGGTGAGCAAGTCGCACCTTTTTTGTTTTGAAATGGTTCTGTTCTGAAGTTAAAGCAGAAGCAATGCATAAAAAGGTTTATTTATGTATTGCATTTTACAACTCAAGCTTGAGCTTAAATAGTACAGTGCATTGGAAAAGAGGCAGGATACAACTTGAACTGAGGCCCATTTCAAACCGTTTTTTTGTTTGTTTTTTTTTTTTTACTTTGTTTTTACAAATTTATGTAAAAGTGGGCAGACTGTTCAGACTTGAGGTTAAAATTCTTTGTCTGATTTGTCAGACAAGCTATGTTTAAAGACTTCAGTAAGTGGGACATTTTAGCTTTGATGCCCTTCATGGTCATTTTTCTGCGTTTGACTTGACAATCATGGAAAATTTTGCTGATTTCAATCACCGGCCGATTGACTGACGCGACATATTTTCCAATTGTTTCCTTTTTGTATAATTTTTTAAAGCTGGAATGTATTTGTAATTTGCTTTAGGTCAACATTTAATCTTTTCCATTAGCTCACCCACTGATATACAGAACTCTTCTAATACATTGTTGTTGTTTTTTTTTTTTCGTGTTTTTCCCCCCCCCCCTTTATTATTTCTTGAATACTGTGTGGAGGTTGACAATTCCTTCCTTTTGGATATGAATTTTATGGTTTTATTGTTTTTTTTGCGACGTCCTATATGATTTTTACAAATAATGAATTTGTATATCAATATCTGACTTTCTGTAGTATTCTGGTTGCTTTCTTTCTTTTATTCATTATGTACAATGAAATCATTTAAACATTAACCATGACTCTGATTAATCAGTGTTTCATTATTTAAAAGTGCTCTGCTCTAAAACTCTTGCAGCTTAATTATTTATGCGAACAAGCAAGCTATGAAAAAAGAACACGAAGAATAAAAAATGTTCAAATTAACAGAGCATCACAAATATGTTAAGGGTTTTCTATTTTAATCACCTGATATTGACTGCCTATTGTTTTTCTGAGTCGTAATCCAACATCTTTATTTTTTCTGTGGAAACATTTTCATCAGGAGTTTGTAAAAGGTATCAACCCAACAAATGGGTTTAATTTGACCCAGACATCAGTGTCTGATTTATCTATGCTGTTCATAGATTGCATTTTTTTAAAGCAAGGATCTCAATAATATTGCTGCTGCAGGAGGAGTTCTTCAGCCTGTGTCTGTTCCTGTTCTTATTTTGGTCTCATCTGCTTTTGCTTTTTGTTCAAAAAAGCTTTTTGCACAAAGTATCATTTTGAAAGTGCGCTTCTTAATTTATCTGTAGATCTTTCTGCCTACCAGACTTTACTAAATACTATTACATCTTGTAATCCATGCATCGTTGCTGTATCTCCCAAAAATGTCCCAGGCACTGTTCACAGCATCGAAGTTCTGCCTGTTTGACGTTCTGCACAAGAAGCCTGGGCTGAACGCAGAGCAGATAGCCCAGGAGATCAAAGCCTCTGTGAAGGGGACAGAGACGCTGCTGGAAGCTTGCGTATCTCTGGGACTGCTGAAGACCAAAGATACAAGTTAGTCATTCCTCTGATGTTCTTTATCGTCCATAAGCAGCTTTACTAATTAGCTTTTAAATGGCTAAACTGGCTTATTTAGTTCAAAAAGGCACATATCAGATGCAGAGATGGCACCTGCCTTGAGAAGCACATTCAGAAGGCATGGACTCTATCAGTCATGACTATTTAAAATATTAACCACACATTGCCTTATTCAGGGTTGCAAAATACTAAAATAAGTTACTCTGTGTGTAATGAATCTCCACATAACTTTCATTGTTAGAATTTAATGATGAAATTTCTGTTTCAATGATCTCTTTTGAGATGCAGTTTTGTTTGTTTGTTAAAGCAGGACGCCCAAAACCTGGATTTGAGAACACAGACGCGGCCTCATGTTTCCTGCGCTCAGATTCTTGTTTGTCGCTGCACGCCTACATTCAACACTGTAATGACACATTGTGGCCCATTTTCTCTCACCTCGAAAGCGGGGTGCGGGTGGGAACTAGCCAGCGTGGGAAGGTCAAAGCATCTACAGAGATTTGTGAGGTGATCATCTTGCAGTTCACTATCTGATTAATGCGGTGCAGATGAAACCTTCTGTAGAAAGCTTAACGCACTGATTTACTGCTTGCCTTTTTTTTTTTTTTTCAAAGGAAGCCAAACTGAGATTCATGCATGCCATGCACAGCTCTGCCAAAGTCGCAGCTCCGGCCGTGGCAACGGCCTTTGACCTATCCAGCTACAAAACAGCCTGCGACGTGGGGGGTAAGGAATGAAGGGATGAGGAGCTCACCGTTTTCCCAATGAGAAAACGTTCCTCTGCTTACGGTTTTCTCGGCTTTCCAGGATGCACTGGCGCCATCGCGTACGAGTTGATTAAAATCCACCCCGACCTGTCTGTAGCTGTGCTCGATTTGCCTGCCGTAGTGGAGATGAGTGCAACGTTTCAGCGGCAGCACACAGACAAAAGGGTCACTTTCAAAGCTGGTTAGTTATTAACCACGTTATTTTTAGTCACTAGATGTTGTGTTGTTTGTGTAATGGAGTCCGAGCTCTCATTTGGATTGTGAATTCCCTGTTTCCATGCTGTTCGAACAGGAGACTTCTTGAAGGACGAATTGCCGAAAGCAGACCTGTACATCCTGGTGAGGATTCTCCATGATCTGACCGATGACAAGCTGCATATTCTGCTGAGGAGAATTTCAGATGCATGCACTCCAGGTATAAATTGTAAACCGTAGCTAGTTTCTTTTCCTTTAATTTTGTGAGACTGTTAAAAACAATTAGATGCACCAAGCCACAGTGTTGTTGGAATATAAAATAAAAAAAATGAAAAATCAACTGCTGCTTTGTTAGCGTAACGGAGCGGCGCGGGCTCGCTGTGAGACCCGTGTAAGGAAACAGCCCAGCTAAAGCGCCTGCTTGCTAATACAGTGATTTATTCTTTCTGTTCGCGCTCTGAACGTTGCATGTTTGCATATACTTTCTGCTGCCAGGCTGCGGCCTCCTGCTGAGCGAGATCTTTCTGGATGAAAACAGAAGCGGCCCGAGCCGAGGGCTGCTGCAGGCTCTCAGCATGAGCGAGGGGAAACAGCGAAGTGCGGCGGAGTACAGTCGGCTTTTAAAGGGTCACGGTTTCATAACGGCACAAGTGAAACACACCAACAGCCTTCTGGATGCAATGCTGTGCACCAAAGCGTAACAGACTTGCACCTTTACCTACATTTAAAGCTTTGTGATGTAGGTCGTCATTCAACCTTGCCAATATTAAACACTTAACTTTTCTCCTGTTTTTTGTTCAATATGAAAACAAGTAAAAGATTTCCTAATTTCAGGCTGAACACTTTATGTATAAGATGTCAGATTTTGTACTATTCAATTCTGAAGATTATTCAATTAAGATTATTCTATGATGCCAACTCCAAATATGAAGACATTTATAGCTGCATGTCCTTCCGTAACACTTTCCTGTATCCAATAACTTTATCCAGACTTTGAAAAAAATAAAATTATTCATCAAACGTTTTGTTACATAATGAGTCTTTTTGCAACTATATCTGCTGGAAGTAATATTTGCTTTGATTCAATAAAATTGCCTTATGTCACAAATAAGGTTGGGAAATGTGTAGCAGTAGAATTTATGTATTGCACTTAAACTCAAATAATAGGAGCATGTTGCACATTTGAAAATAATTAGTATTAGAATAATATAATCTGAATGGAGAGCAAAAATTTTGTCAAGTAACATTTTTTTTAACTTGTTAATGTTTAAAAATGTAAGGACAGTCTGCAAAAAATGTTTGAAACATTTAATGTTGGAGATGAAAAAAATAAATCCTGTTCTTGCCTTGCCTTATGGAATTGATGAGCATTGCATTTATGCTGCATCTCACCACGGTTTAATACAACATTCAGACTTTAGAAACAGACCTTGTCATTTTTACTATAGCATTATTTGTGAACATGCATGTGACACAAACAGGATGTGAATTAAAAAAGTGGTTGGGGTGCATTACAAATATTATTTTGTACGTTTAATGATATATCAACAGAATCAAGTTTAGCTCCATATTGGAGCTTTGCAACTTTGTACTTCTGCTGTCCATACAGACTATTCCTTGGGGAAGTGGTGCCTGTCTCCAGCATACGTTGGGTGAGAGGTGTTGTACACCCTGGACAGGGGCAAGACAGAGACACACACACTCGCATGAGATGCAGCGTTAAATACTTTAAAAAAGTGATATAAAGTTGAAATAAAAAGCTGTGTCGCAGTTTGGGGCTTGACTGCTGCAGTTTTGTTCACTTGATGTTGGCAGGTACTTCTTGTAGACGCTGTTGAGGACTCTGTTTCTGACCGATCACTGGAACAGAGGATAGTGATCTTCTCAGCTCCGCTTCTTGTCCTCTGCAGGGCATAGTGCAGCTGGAGCACCACACTGAGATTCGGTACTTCAACACACTCCACATCAGATCTGCAAAAAAAAAAAAAAGTCTAGAGCGATGGTTGTGTCAGTTTCCTTCTTTATTGAATGGTTGCTTAGCGTGAAGGATTTGCAATCAGGTCAGGACCTCCAGGAGCTGAATGTCCTCTTCCTTCCTTGTTTTTGTCATATGCTGTCTCTGCACTCTCTCTTACGCTGTTTGACATCCTTCCTTCCTGTTGATTGACTCATCATATGTGATGATGGGTACATCTTCAAAAATAAATATATATATTAAAAAAAAAGAACTTACTGCTTTAATGTAGCGTAGAAATGGTGTCGCTTTATCTTTCAGGTAGCTCTTTATCGCTCCAAAAACATGTTACCTGTCTGAGTAAAGTGTGGTTTGTGAGTTTCTTGCAGGGTCAAGTAATCCCCTCAAGATGGCGCTAAAAAACCACCTCATCTGCCTGAGAGTAGCAAAGAAACACATGGAGATCTCTATTGACAAGAACCCCCCACCTGCAACCCCCAACTAAAGTCTGCATATCTTTTACTGGGATCAAATTAATAAAGAACGACAGAAAACTATCAGAAAAGAGGCTGATGCTGCCAGGTTGGGGATATTAATGTACATTGTGTGCATTTGGTCTGGAAGCACAGCCTCATAATCTGTAAAAGAGTAGGACACCATCCCCTAATTCCTTACAGATCCTCTTCTTGGATTTCAGTTTGGAGGCAACAGTTAAAGCAGCCAAAGAGCTGCAGGGAGAGCAGAGAGAATCGCTGGCTTTGATAAACAACGTGGATCATTTTGGATCGCTTTTTAAAGTATTTTCCTAGGAGGGTAAGAAGGGTGGTCAATGTTATTCACTGCTATTTTCTTGTCATTTCGTATCGAGGCTCTCCGTGACATCTAACTGATTTCCATTTCTCAGGTTTCAGAGTGTGGATAAGGAAAGACAGGAGAAGGGTGGACTCGAGTTCAAACATGACACCAAAGTAATTCACAAGGCGCATTTTTTCTTTCTATCTTTTTTATTGACAATGCCAACCATGGCCATTACAAAAATCACATGCTTTTCTTGCTTCGCGAAATGGACTGAACAACTCGAGGTCGTGTCGCTTCTCACTTTTAAAGACATCAAACGAAACCAGAGCAAAACGGGTTAAATGTTGTGGGAAAATTCGAGGCCTTTGAAATACAGATGAGCGTCACAAATCAAAGCAAAGTCTGTTTCCACCCCCACCCCACCCTGCCTACCCCCGAAAACACGATGAAGCATTTCCAAGAAAGGGTATTTTGCATATCTGTCCACTCTTGAGTGTCCCAGCAGCTGGACCTGCTTCACCCTCCAAAAATGCCTCTCCTCTGGTGTACCGGCATCAACAGCAAACACTCTGCTGCGCGTCCTAATGAAAACCATTCAAGTCAATCAAGTTTAGCGGAGACCAAAGGCCAGTGTAATTTGGGAAAATTGCTGAAACTCCAAAGTAATCTTGTGTAATGTGATCTTGCGTATTGAGCGCTGGCTGTACTGTACGTGTCGGATAAGAGCTCAGTCATTTTCTTCAAATGCAGTCTTGACAAGCAGCATGGCTATCCACCTGCAAGTAATCATCATTCTAGTGTTAAGTGCTTTGATATTAAAATGACTGATTTAAGACCATTTGCTGCTAGCAGATAGGGGCCTTTAAGCACTTCCATATGTTGATAGAGAGGATAAGCCGAGTTTGTGAACTGGCTGGACTGCGTGTTGCGGAGCGGCCAGCGATAACGCGTCCTCTGCATAGTAATAGAGCAGTTATGAAAGCAAACTTACATTTATCATGAATGATGTGATCAGAACCTTTTAGATAACACCAGGAGCAAGGGTTTAGATTTATTATGTTTGTTTTTGACATCAAATGGAAATGTGATGCACTTTGCAAAAACACCACTTGAGGGCAACGTTAGCTAAATAAAACTTCCACAGCTCTAATGTTGCATTTTTTATTAGGACTTTGCTTAACAGCCAGAACAAATAATTTGATTAAATAATTATGTTTGATTATTTATTTATTTATATATATATTTTTTTTCAATCGCCCATCTCGATTTCTTCTTGCGGCGTCTTAAAAATAAACAATATTTGTTTATTGCCAGTCTTTTAGGTACCTCAGGCAGGATCTGCGGAGTCCAAACGCTTGGATCCAGAATAACAAAGATCCTCTAATCAGCACCTCTTTCGGAATTACCTTTTAAAAACTGAACTCGTGCCTGGGCACCTGTTTCAAAGAGCAGGCTTGTTTATCAAAGTCCTCCTCTGTCAACAAACAGGAGCGAACGTGATGACGGCTGGCACCTCGGCCCACATCTGATTTCAGCAAATGTGCAATTGTTCAAAGTGAGTTGTGCTTCATTGATTTGTTTCAAGGCAGAGGAAAAATAACCTGAGGGCTTCTACCAGTTAGAAATAACAATGGAGTCCTTCTTTGCTGTTTTCCTTGCTGGCTTGACATCAGTTGTAAAGCAGAGGGATTTTCACGGTGGGTTTAACTAGTAGTTGGGGACTGGGCAAAATAAACGAGATGCACCTCACTGAAGTAGTTTCACTTTGGCATATAGGATTTCGATAACACGAGATTAGAGGAAGGTTATAAAACACTGTTCCACGTGTGGTTAATTGCAAATGTTGTGTATTTTTGCTGAAATGCTGCATTTGTCATAAAAATGCCAGAAGTAAAACTGGAAATTAAAACAGATCTTTTTTTGTAGATTCAATTAAAGCTCATTGTGTTAGTTTTGGTCAATCAGAACATTGATAAATATATATTAATGGAAATTTAGTTTAATTAAAGAGTGTGTTTTGATGTATTGGAAATATGAGCAACAATTTTACACATCTGACACTCAAGCAAATGGGATGTGATCCCAGCTGAGTCAGATATAAAATTTCTACTAACTTTCAATTTGAGAGACAAAAAAAAAACACACAAACCACTTGGGACAACTCATTCATTGCAGATAGAACAATAAGAAGAATAATAATTTAAGTCACAGCAAAATTACTGACTGTACTTACACAGTGACACAGTATGAATTTTTTACATCCAATTTTAATCCCATTAGCCACACATAAGATAAATGTAATGGGAATACGTCATAAGTCATAGAAACAGTAAAGAGATGACAACAGCAGATAGCAGCTTTTGCAGGTTTCCTTGAAAATGTGCAAAGACGTAGTAATTTGTAATTTTCAGAGATCATCATATGATTTGTGCGTTTACCCATTTGTATTGATCTAACTACATCTGCAAGACACAGCTAGCTGTTGATTGGGCCTTGTAGCTTTAGCAGCAGCCTATCCTGTGGGGGCATGTCTATCAGAGCAACATCAAATCTTCTAGTGCGATTTGTTTTGTTTTTTTTAACATACAGATAATGTTGGATCTCACAGAAAACATGTATTCAAAGCAGCCATGCATATTTGTCAAAACCAACAGTGAAGTCAGGGAGAGGTTACCATTCGAATGAAAACAAAAGCACATCTGACCCTGACAGGATAACAGGGTTATCTAATTGCGATAAGACAATTATTGTTGTGGTCAGATGAGAAAGCGCCTCACCCCTTTCTGTCTCTTAGCGAGGTGCGACTTGTCGTTCAGTGATGCAGTCGGGCCGGAAACTCTCTGAGCCGAAATGGTTGGTGACTGAGCTTTTATCAGACTGACTGAGGGCGCTTTGTTGTTATTTTAGGATTCCTCCTGGGTGCAGACCGAAAGAGCAGACGAGTGGGTTCCATCATTACATGGGTGCACATGTACAGACACAGAGGAGTGTAACAGAAAAAGAACATAATATTGGGATGCTTATTCTCATGACAATCGCATTGATGAACTCTTTTTTTTTGAAGAAGAAGAAGAAGAAGAGGAAATGTCAATTTAGTAAAATGTAAAATTTTGTCAGATAATTAATATTTTAGTTCAGAGGATTTATTTTCTCCACTAACCGTCAGGCCGCATGTTACATAAACACACTTTGCAACTTTAAAAACATTTATTTTTTATTTTCTAAATTGTACTTTGAGCATTTCTGAGGTTTCATCGCAAACAATGAATCGTTAACTAAAAGGATGATTATTTATTATCGTGTACGTTAGAACTGTGGAACAACACGGCAACCTACACAAACTACTGTGTTGAAAGCTGAATTTGTTATTAAATCAGGCTCAGAGGTGAAGAGCTCAGTGTATAGACTGTTTGTTGCAAGGCAAGGGTTCAGTAGGAACCTCTCAGTTCATCTCATCTACCTTTCTCTAAGCTTTTTGCCAAACATGCAAAGTCAAACTGCAGATGCGAAATTGCCAACTGAGGAACAATAGTAGAAATTCAAC